AAAATATAAAGAGGCCACATGATGTGAGTTAGTGTTTGTTTGTTAGTTTGGTTGAATGTTCACATTTTAGTTTAACATATGACTAGATCTTATATATGTGTTTTATGTTTCTTGTCATAATTTAAAATTTGCATTAACTAACAAATTTACCAAGCTAATAAACAACAAATACAAATAAATAAATAAATCATGACATATAAAATAAATGCATATTGTACTTGGTTCTGCATTATTGTTTTATTTAATTAATTAAATTTTAAACTTTTTAGTTAAAAATTAAAATCATTTCATTTTATTTACTAATTTTATTAGATATTAGTTTCTCCTGAATTATAAATTTAAAACAAAACAGCGTGTATTTTAATTGTTAATTTAATTACCATTATTTAATTATTAATTAAAAATTAGTATTTTGTAAGTAATTGAATGAAATAAAATATAATAGAAAAAAATCTAAATGTTAATCAAACTAGGTAATTTCCTAATGTTGAAACAAAATTCTTAGAAAGAACAGGACAAGAGAAGAAAGTGTAATAGATGTTTGTGGTTTTATTTCTATTACAAGGGACAAGCTGCTATTTCTAAATTAAATATAATTCACAATATTCAGCAAATAGAAATTTGATAAAAGCAAAAAGATAATTGTCAAAGCCAAAGAGACTGAAAAAGAGGTTATACATTTTTTAGTTTTTATCTTTTAAATTATATTTTATAAACAAAAACAATGTTGATAGCTATCAGTGTTGTAAATAAACCAACTTTCAGGTTTAATTTGTTTTTAATTATTTTTTTCTTTAATGACATCCATTCAATATAAATGCCATTGTAATGCATTAACAATTTAACATTAATTATTGAATATATCTCTGTTGCAGCAGATGGTATCAAAAAACAATGTTGAATCAGCCAGTGCCAATCAGAATGGCATCAACAGTGAAAATGCCAGAAATATCAATAGTCAATCACTAGAATACAGATGTTGCAACACGAGACCTGCTATTCTGCAATGCATCAACAATATCAAATGGGTTGTATTTTTCTTCTGTCTGGCACACTGCCTACAAAATGCAACAAATGGATTGCTTGGTGTCACTATTTCAACTCTTCAAAAGAGATTTGGTTTTTCTAGTCTTGAATGTTCCATCTTAGCAAGTGCCTACGAGATGGGACAGGTGCCAGCTGTAATTTGTATCATCTTATTCGGACAGAGGTCTGTGCATTCTTTATTTTATTTTACATCACTAACAAAACTTGTTTAATAAATGAGAATCAAAAAAATTATTGCAAGTATTGATGTATAATACTGTAACATTGTACTTAAATTTTATTAGCAACAGGTCAGTTGTAAGTGATTTGAAACTTCCCTTCTGAAATTAAAAATGTCTAAATAATCTGGCCTAATCATCCTTGAATCCTTGCTTTTTTCATACTTGTTGCACATTTTTATGCCAAATCTTTTCTGGTCATGCTCCCTAGAACTTTTTACTTTTTCAAGACTACTTTTCTTTAACTTGAATGTTCAGACAGGAGTCCTAATACCCAGCAGCTTGCAGTCCCTGGAGATGGATGGTGCTATATGAAAACTTGGTTGATTAAATAATTGTGCTTATTATATTGTTTGAACTGGAAAGAATGATTGATGCATCAGAAATACATAAAGTAATAACATGCATCAGCATGTTAAACAAAATAGTCTATGCCCATTTTTTAATTGAACAGTTTTATCACTCTTTAAAAATTGATTCATCCTTTGATTATGCAGAGAAGAATTTTTATTATTCATCTTTTTTTAATATTTTTCATGTCCTTTTTTAATAATTATTTTAGAAAATTTTTATTATTTAAATCACTCAATCTTTCATAATACTACTCAATTATTAAGTCTTGCTTATGCTTTATCACAAACTTTTATCTAATGCTTTTTTGTAGGTTAATGATAGAAATGTAGGGAGTTTGAGAAAGACAAAATAGAGTAAAAGAGAGAAGAGATTGAAAAATGTGCATCAATGTTATTGACAAGATTATTTCATTGATTAATTCCATATGAATGTGATTATTAGATGAAGGAACATCCCAACAATTTTTAATTTACCAACCATCTGTGGTGCATGTGTCTAGAATTATTTTACTTGTTAATGTATTATATAGAATAGAATAGAATTAATTTGCAGAGCAGGCAAAGCTTCTTGCCACCATAATCTAAACAGTTTTGAAGAATAAATAATTTAATAATTAAAATATTTTGTGGAAATGTTCAGTTTAACTTTTCATCTTTTGGTTTGACATCTTTTTTTCCATATATAGCATGTACTCTGCCAAAAGTTATCTAAGGCTATCTTGAAGCTGATCTGACCACATTTTCAGGTAGGCCACTCCAGTCATTACTATTATTTTTTATAAAATTTACTATTCTGTTGGTAAAGTAGTATTTTCTGACACCTTTTCACCAAATCCACTTAATCAACTTCATACCATTTCCTTTGGTCGCCATGGTAGTTAAGTAGTCTAGTTTGATATCTACATCCAGCAGTCCATTTAGCACTTGATTAGTTAATATTATGTCTTCCTTTTTTTAGTTGTAAACCAGTGAGGCCACCTTAGAAGCTTTAACCTATTCTCTTATTTTAATCCTCTGCATTGAGTGTATTTGCCCAGATGCTCAAATATATATATATATATATACTGTGCCTCTACTCTACTTTGTTTGATTTCTTGTTTGTTTTAAGTGAATACTTAACGCTCATTTAGTTAGTTTTACAATTGTCAACTTTGTTAAATATATTAATTATATTACAAAGCTTATTTGTTCTATCATGCATAAAATAAACAAAAATTTTGGTTTTGACCTAAAGAAACTTGAAAATGATTTACGGTCAACCTTTAGAAAAATCGAAAAGTTAAATTGGAAGTTAACTAACGCCGAACATGCTGTAATTTTAATCAATATATATATATACAATATTCATATATATTTATATATATTTCAATCAATCAATCTTCGTTTAACGTCCAGAGACCTAGTTACTCCGAGGTAGGACGTTGTTTTCTTTGCCATCAGTTTTTTGCGCCGAATTTTTGACTTCTACTTTTCTTATCCTCTCCACCACTTTCGCCAACAACCTTCTGCCTTGAACGTAAAAACATGATGAAAATTTTTCACTTCTTATTGATTTCTGGTACCAAAACTCTAAACTAAATTCCAGACAATCCTTATGAAATTAGTCTGGTCGTTGAATGAAACACATAGAAAAAAATATTGCAAGCAAATACTAACTTACATTTTATATCATTAGCTCCACTGAAGCAAGTTTTGAAACGCCTGCAATATTTTTTTCCAACTAATAGTTATAGAAAATTTACAACGACCGAATTTGTACTTGCACGCATACATAAACGCGCACATGCACTCATGCACGTATGACATACATTATACACATACTCAACACCTACCTTCACACACACACATACATTTATATGCACAATGAACAACTGCAGATTGCACCGTCCACTAGCCATAGGATGTGGCATGTTGTTGGTGGCCCTCGGGTGCTTCCTGCAGTTTCTTCCACAATTTTTTACAACACCATATCTACCAATGCAACAGGTATGTTGTGAGGGTGTGTGTCTGTGTTGTGATTGTGTGTACGTTCGTGTTGTGGTTTTTTGTCTGTCGTGTGTGTATTGATGTTGTGAATATAAAACTTGTGATGTTCTTATAGTGATGCGTTGTTGTGTATGAAATAAAAATGCTCACATGTTCATTGCTCATTCTCATTAACATTTGTCAATTATCCTCCTTTTGAATGCAGATAGAAAGCGAACCTCATTTTCTCAGTTCCAACCTATCAGAAACTGGCAGAGGAGGTTTGTGCTCATCAGAAGAACAACCATCCGACGAGGATTGCCAGCGGGACACCAACGAATACAAGGGGTTCCTTTTCATGTTCCTGATTGGAAGATTTCTTGTTGGAGTTGGATCAACTCCGATTGTAACTGTTGGTCTGACTTACATCAATGACTGCACCACTAAGGAACAGTTCGCTTTATTTTCTGGTTTGTTTTTCTTGATGAAAAATATTTCACATTTTTAGATTTGAAATTTTATATCTGATAGCTGATCTACCTATTGCTTGTCTTTATTTTGGTTTATTGGAAAGTATAAATAATTTTTAGCTTATAAAATTATAATTTAATTTAAAATTATATAACTTTAATTCAATTCAAAGTGTACAAAATTTTATATGAACATTTTTATATGGAAATGAATAATTTCTTGCATTTCAAGTGCTCTTGAAAGCAACATTTCGAAACAACAATGTCAACAGAATGCATACTGTGACCCTCTTGTGGACATCATTTTGCTCGTCTAATTCTAAATTATAACTGAATGTTTTATTATCATAGGATCATGAGAGTCGTCATCATTACGTCTATCGTAATCGAAATTATAATTATCATCATCATCATCATCATTGCAATTATCATCACCATAATCATCATCATAAATTGTTAGGGACGTGACGTTGAAACTTCATGTAGTTGAATGACGTCACTGAATGCTAGCGATCCAAGCGCCCACAACTTAAATATGCTTGCCATCGCTATTTGCCATTTGAAATTCGAAAAAGTTTCAATTATCATAATTAATTTCGCCATTCCTTTTAAACTTTTGATCGGTTCCCAGGGCTTCTACTTGTTATTATTATAGTTAATGGTGACGTCATCAGATGAAATATTTTTGTTAAATAGTGTAGTGCTCTATTTAATTAATAAAGATTGAATAGGTATGGATAATGATGCCTGTTAACAATCAGTAAATGCACAAAGTAATTAATTAATTAATTAATTAATTAATTAATTAATAGATGAATGAATGAGTAAATAAATTAATGGATGGATAGATGGATGGATGGATGAAAGAAAGAAAGAATGAATGAAAGAATGAATGAAAGAACGAACGAACGAATATGTGAGTTAAAGAGTGAATGAATGAATGTATGAATGAATGAATGAATGAATGAATGAATGAATGAATGAATGAATGAATGAACGGATGAATGAATGAATGAGTGAATGATCGAATACAGCGAGATACATAACAATTCAACAAATGAAAATATGATCATCTTTTGATCTCAGTAATTATTATTATCATCATGAAAATTGTCACATGAGTTGTACATGTTTGTATATGTCCTTAATTAACATCCATCGTTATTTCCTAATGGTCACATGGAATTTTTGGCACAGTCGGTTCATTTACTGTCACATCACCTCATCAATCGATATTTTTCATTCTTTTGTTGAAACATTTGCCAGAATCATGTGTGACGATAGTGATGGTGATGTTAACAATGATGATAGTGATGATCAAAATGATGTCCTGACCATAAGCATTTGTTTTTTTTTCACTTTATTTAAATTATGTCAACAAAAATGTGAGTGTGTGTGTGTGTGTGTATGTGTGTTGTGTTGTGCATCTGAGAGCCGCATGTAGGTCGATATAATTAGAGAAAATTGCTAACCAGTCCCGAGCAAATTTAAAAACTATTTATAATTGTAAGGAAACGAGGGCTACCACTATTTATAAGTATTATAATTGTAATTATTGTAGCATGAAGTAATGCAACTCACGTGGTGATTGTAATATTGTCGGTATTATTTATGTCTGTGATGGCGGTATGATGAGTGAAAGCGAGTGAACTATTGAGGGTTGTGCTGGTGGAGGTGAAGAACAGGATGGAGGAGCATTACGTGATGTGGAGTGAACAATCACCCACCCCATCCACCCAACCACCCAGGCATCTTCAATTCGATGAGCATCGTTGGACCGGCTGCTGGAGTTTTGTGCGCCAGTCTCATGCTCGGCCAGTTCGTCGATTTCTACAGGGTCGACTCCGATGTGGCCAGGTTGATATTTTATTAAAATTTCGTTTCGACATTGTCTCGTGTGTTCAACTCACCATATTCATTAACCAAAATGTTTTTAAAATGTTTTTAACTCTATGATGGTCGGCGTGTGTATCATTAACATTTTAACAATAACATAATTGACAATGTTTTCGTAACTTTAATATGTTGAACCACCCACCAACCACAACCAGTCTTGGGATCACTAGTGACGATGCGAGGTGGATTGGCAACTGGTGGATGAGTTACTTGTTTCTCATGTTTTTCTGCCTCTTCTGCGCCATTCCAACCTTGGGATACGCTAACGATCTTCCTGGTCAGTTCTTTCTCCACTCCGCACGCGTGCATGTGGCTGCTGCGTCTGATCTGCATGTTTGTTGTATGGAACGTGCAGTGTTTGCTATGAGTGTTGTTGCAAAATTTAATGTCAAGGTTTTCCATGTTAATTGTGTAGAAACTGTTTTGTTATCACTCAACTTTTGAATTACATACTTTGCATAACCACGTTCATTAACTGGTGAATGTGGAATATTCCTGCTGTTTATATTCTGAACAGGAGCACAGGAAATACGCAAAAGTCGCGTGTCGGAGGCCCACACGACAAGCAAGCCATCTAAGTCTGCAACTGACCCTTACTCAAAAGGAAAGGTCGATGAAGAGGAAAAATCCTTGAGAATCGTCTTGAGTTTGCTCTGCAATCCAACATTCCTGCTCGTCTGCGTCTTCAACTTCTGTGACATGTTCTTCGTTGTGGGGTTCAATGCTTTTGGTCCGAAGATCTTTGAGAATTTTTTTCACATGCAACCAAGTTTTGCTGGTCTCTTGTTTGGTGAGTTGACTTGTATTTCATCAGCATCATCAGCGTCAGCATCACCATTATCGTCGTCATCATAATCATCATCTTTTATCGTTTGTTAAGTTGATTTATATATTGCCATCACTTCATTATTTGTCAGGTGCCATAAAATGAATGTAGGTACCTGAGCCAATAAGATATTTGATTGTTTTTTGGATGTTTTTTAATTCCTCATCACTGATACTTTCGCCGACAACTTCATAGTTTAACATTACATTCATTTGGAATTAGTTACGTTTCTGAATCAACTGTCTGAGCTGTTCAACAACATGCCAAACAGTTAAGATTAAAATAAGCATTTAATCTTTCTTGGACTGATTTTATTTACCTTCAACGCTTTATTTACTCCTAATGAAAGTTATTGAATGTCATTTTGGCATTAGGAAGCAATCACAGGCAGAAAAGTTAAACGTACAATATGATGTGATGCTCGTGCCATGTGCACATTAATTGTGAACAGTGTCAGAAAAATATATGATTTTTTTTAGTATTTCAATTCAACTATTGAATAAAGTGTTATAAATTTAGGTTGAGCCAAATAAAATTAATCAATGCATTTTTTGTTTCTTTTTGAAAGGTGCCGTTCTCTTGCCTTCCGGAGCAATAGGGACGATACTCGGTGGCTTCCTCATCAGCCACTTCAAGATGACGTCGAGGATGATGATAAGAGTGCAGCTCGTTCTTTCCGCCGTCGTCGTCGTCACCTTACCAATTGTGCTGGTCAACTGCTCAAACATATCATTCGCCGGAGTCACCAGGCCACTCATGTCCAGTGACGACAATATGTTGGTGCCGCATTACTTGTTCGCTGACTGTGCCGTTCTATTCCATTATAATAACTCTTCAAACGTTTTCATTTGAATCTGTTCAATTGTTGTGGTCTGTGCGCTATTATAATGCTAGTTGCGAGGCTGTAATTATTAAAATCTGATTTTACTGTAATAATATTGTCATTATAATTGTTTCTGAGTTATCTGCGCTCTTCGTTTCAGCCGTAGCTAACCCTTATCTCATTTGCTGATAACTTCATTTTAAGTAGTTTCATTTCTTTTTATCACACATTCTTCATTTGAACCACTTGCATTGTTTGTTAACCGACGTCGCAATGAAGCCAGCATATGTTATTGAGACAGTTTTCAACTGTTTGTTGTACGTCGTGAGTGAAGCTAAACCAGAAACGACATTTAAAGACAGATGACAGGAGAATGTAACAGAGATTGCCACTGCGAGGGCATCAACTTCCAACCTGTGTGCAGTCAGTCGCAGGTTCAGTACTTCTCTCCGTGTCATGCTGGCTGTTCCAGCAAAATACACAATCCCGAAACAAATATATACGTTTGTCGCTTTTATTTTATTTTTTTAACATATTATTGTTAATGTTTCAAAAAATCTTTATTTCATTTATTTATTGAATTTCTTTCACGAACGACTATTTATCCTCCATCATAATCTCAGGAGTACCACAAGTGCGCCTGCATCAGTGAAAGTGTTGGTAACTATTTGAACACTAGCAGCAGTTACAACTTGACCAACAAACAAGAAGGCACTTCCGACAACATCTCTGCCTTAGTAGACATTGAGGCATTCGGCAAATCGTGTGACCTGCATATATGTAGCAAGGCATTCATTTTCATGCCCATCTTTGCAGTGACCGTTTGCATCGTCTTCATCTGCTTCACCATGAATACCGCCATCATGTTCAGGTTAGTGACTGCTATGGCTGCTAATGCTGTCCATAATAAGCTAATCATGCTGCTCCTGGTTAACTATTTTACAGTTCAATTTGTAAATTTAATGGGGAAAAAATTTGCAAATTGTAAAGAACACAGAAGATGAAATCTGCCGATAGAATTAAATTACAAACGTGCATATGCAATGCATATGCACTATTTCAAAGAATTTCAAGGAATCAACAAAGTAGATTAAAGACACGGTATATATATATTTGAGCATCTGGGCACATACACAACATATAATACCGGAAAAAAGTTTTTTTGTTCTATCATACATAAAAGAAACAAAAATTTTGGTTTTGAACTAAAGAAACTTGAAAATAATTTGCGATCAAGGTTAGAAAAAATGAAAAGTTAAATTAGAAGTGAAGTTAACTAACGCCGAACATGCTGTGATTTTCAGCAATAATAATTGCATTTCTGTCGTTGTCAAGTTTCAATAAAATTGTTGAACTGTTGAATATTTAAACAGGGTTGTACATGGAAATCAGTCAACATCTGCCGTGTCCATTCTCATATTGTTCTCTAAACTGTTTGGTTTGTATTTATTTTACATTTTCATTTTTTATAATGGTCACAATATTTGGATACATTTTTTAATTTCTTAATTAATATTTTAATATTTATCACGGTCAAAATTTTATTATCATGACTATGATAAATTTATGACGATAAATTTAGGAACAATACCTGGACCTCTATTCTTTGGACTGGCTCTTGATTTCAGTTGTGCCTTATTTGAACCGACCCAGTGCAAGGACAGTTCGTCAAAGTGCATGTTGATGCACGTAGATCGGGCAGCCTGGAACATTCTCATCATTTGCATCATACCGAAGATCATCAACACCTTGGCAATGGTCGTTCTGAACTTCGTCTACAAGCCACCGAAGCCGAGTGACAAAAAGGAGATGTTTGGTGTTGAAGGGCAGCTGACGGAGGAGCAACAAATCATGTTGAAGCCTGTTTACGAAAAAAATGATCTGGAGGTTGAGACGAAGAGGAGTTAAATTTCGAGAATGTCCCATTTTAAGCCATGTTCATTTTGTTTACTTTGCTTTTTTTCCTGAATTGAGCCGACCTATTTTAACGGTTAAATTCAGCGCCACACTTTATCACGTCACAATGCCACAACATGCATTGCTGTTTATATAATCTACGAATTCGTTTAATTTTTGTATAATTTTAACTTAAGTATTGTATCTTAGTGGCTTTGTAAAGTTTTTTTTAATGATTTTAATTATGTATTATTGACTGCATGAAAATTCGACTTACGTGATGTTGAAAGTAAATATTTATTTAAACAATGACATTGTGTATTACGTTACATGTTAAGTCCGTACATTGAACACAAGTGTCTTACGATTTAACTACCTATTCGTAATCATTAATCAATTCATAATGAATTTGTAAAATTTTTTATGACGCTGTTAAATTATTTTACGCTGTGAATATAACGTTCACTACATTTCAATCATGACTCTTGGTGCTACTATGTCGAATGCCGTGTGTCATGGACAATTTTGAATTTATTTTTTAAATTATTTATTCATATTTTTCAATTTCAATCAAATATTGTACATTTGTTCATAATATCAAGATGAAAAGTATTATACCTTATAATGCAAATCAGTTTTTAGGATATTTGATTATATTGCTGACATTCTGGTGTGTCATTAAAAATTATTCTTGCCCAAGCCCGTTGTCTTCTTTTAAACAGTTCATACGTTTATAGTTAAATCATTATGGTCTTGTTAACGTGTGAAGTTATGTTTTAAACAGGGCAAGGAAAACGATGTTTTTCTTGACAATAAATCGCTGGATATTTTTAAAGTACATTTCTATAAAAAAAAACAGTATTTTGAAAGCTTTACAAAGTAAGGTTTATTTAGACAAGCGTCTCGAATCAATTCTGCTCGTTAGTTTAAACGCCCCGGCCACAAGAAGCAACAATAAACTTAAACATACACACACAACAACACAGAATACATGAAATATATTGTATATATATTTTATGACATCACTTAAGAGATAATCTACGTAGGCAATTCATAAGGTCACCTCTAACTATAAATAAGGCCAAACGCATATGTGTGTATAGTAGTATATACACGTGTATATATATATATATATATATATATAAATATTTGTTTATTATAAATATGTATAATAATAGATATATAATATATATTTGTATATTATAAATATGTAATGATTGTATATTTATTTATTATTTATTTATTTCCAAGCTTCGGTGAAGTAAGCATTATTTTGCATTATTAAAATTATAAACTCCTAAGTATATTTAATCGATTAAAACTCGAATCGTATATGTATTTTTATGTATGGTATGTATGCATGGATATAGAATAACAGCGCGTAAACACTGTTATTTCTTTGCACTTTTATTTTATCGTCCCTGCCTATTGACACATGGCTTCGAACGAGGATTTAGTTTTGCGTTTATATGACGTTGGGGCGATAAAATGCGGCGAGTTCAAGTTATCGAGTGGCCTCATCACCCCACTCTACTTCGATCTGAGAGTCATCATTTCCTATCCGGAGATTCTTGTTAGTTTTTTCAAATTTTACGCCAATTTTGAATTTGATGTGTGTGGGCCCATCCATTTTCTCTTTCTTGTTTTTCGTTGTTTTTGTTTATTTTTCACTCTCTTGACATTGATTTTAAATATTAATTTGCATAAATTTCATTCGCAAATAAATAAACTGAATCTCTTAATGATTAATGACTTAATCTTAATGACATGACTTATACATACTTATCTTCTATAATTAATATTAATAATAATAATAATATACAATAAGTAACAGATGAGATGACATCTACACACATACACACAACTAGTCTTATAGCATAACAATGACTTGTGTTTATATGTCATAACATAAGTGTATGGCTGACAGCAGATAAAATAGCCAACCTCAACCTCTTATAAAATAAACAATGTATCTTATTTCACTCTTGTGTATTTGCTCTTTTTACCTGTTTATTTGCTAGCAAAGATGATTTTATTCTATCAGAAATTTTTTTTTTTTTATTCACAAGTTTATTTCAATCAAATAATGAAAGAAAAAGGTGCAACCTTAGCAATGAATGCTATATTAATGGTGACCTTAACTAAGATGATAGTCCAAAGTATAATGTCAGTCATATTGGAAAACAAAAAATGAAAATTGAACAATTAATTAGATTAAATAAGAAACCGTGAAAAATAATAATGTCAACCCGAAATTAGAAAAGGAAAATTAGTTAATAATAAGAAAAATAAATGAAATCATGAGAAACAACAAAAAAACACCTTCAATTGTTTTTTAAACTTATTAAAAGTGTCAATTTTTTTTAAATAATTGGGAAGATCATTCCATAATTTTGGTGCATAAAAACAGAATATTCTGGAACTTCGCTTGTTAGTAGCTACTAATGTCCTGAATGAGACTTCACTAATGACTCTAGTAGATCTTGGAACCTGGATTGAATTTAAGACAATCGATGCGATATCACCCTTAGTTGATATTCCCTTTATCACTTTAAATAAGAAACAGCAGGCCTTATAGCAATTTATTTCATACACAGAAAGAAGCCGATTTATCAGAAAATTATCACGGATGTCATTTGGTCTTTTAGAATAAAAAAGTGCTTTAACACATTTTTTTTTGGCAAACGAATAGTTCCTGTATACAAGTTTTATTTGCATTTCCCCAAATAAGATTGCAGTAAAACAAATGACTTTGAACAAAAGAGAAATAGAAGACTTTCCTCGAGTTATTGTTTAAGTATGTGCTAATGCGATGAACCAAACCTAAAGTTATATTAATTTTGCTAATGACTGCTTTAACATGGTGTTTGAAATTTAATCGAGATTCAATAACAACTCCTAATAACTTGAATTGATCTACAAATTCCAGTGAATTACCATTTATTTCCAATTGCATATTGTCAGTTTGAATATTTTTATTTTTTGAAAAAATGATATACTTAGTTTTTTTAAGGTTATTGTTTAGTCTATTTAATAATGACCATTTATATAATGCATTTGTTGCTGAGTCCCTTAGTGAGTCAACATGTGTCTCACTAGTATAAAAAGTGCAATCGTCAGCAAATATAACCGAAGGACACTTGTGAATATACACAATATCATTAATAAACAACGAGAACAACAATCGTCCAAGGATACTACCTTGCTGCACACCTCTTGTAACCAGAGTTGTTTTTGAATTAGTTCCAGCAATATCGACATACTGATATCTGGAATCCAAATATGATTTCAACAAAACTGATAAATTACCATTGAAACCATAGCCTATGACCTTATCAATCAATAGATGATGATCGACTGAGTCAAAGGCTTTTGAAAAATCGACAAAGACAGCGAGAGCCAACGATGAATTATTTAGATATAAATTAATATCATTTACAAACTTAAGAAGGGCATCTTCTGTAGATAAGCCACTTCTAAACCCAAATTGACAATCACTCAAAATATTATTTTCCTTAATGTATATATCCATTTTTTGTTTAATAATTTTTTCATATAATTTAGAGAGGCAAGGTATAATGCTAATAGGCCTGTAATTTGACATATCTGATTTGGAACCCGACTTATGAATAGGAATAATTTTTGAAATTTTAAGAGAATTTGGAAATAAGCATTGCTCAATTGATCTATTATATAAAATTGTTAAAATGGGAGAGATATAATGTATAATAAATTTGAGGATTTTGTTTGATAAATTGTAATGATCAAGTTCACCCGAGTTTGATAAGGACTTACAATGATGAATTATTTCCTTTGGGTTTGTGGGATCTAAAACAAAAAGGGAGTTGATATGGGATATATATGTCGAATTCACTGCATTATCATGAGTGATCATGGAAGCTAGATTGGAAAAATAATCATTAAAGCAGTTTGCAATCTGTTTGGGATTGTCATGATTTTATTATTTACAAGGATAGGATAGTGAAGTTTACCTTTTTGTTTGTTTATCAGTGATTTGATAATTTTCCAAGTGGTCTTAGTATCACCAATATGTGATTTGAAAAGGTTTTCATAGTATTTTTTTTTGTTAAATTTGATGTTGTTATTTACCATATTTCTCATCTTTTTATATTTTTCATAAAAATTAGGATCATGATTTTTTTTATATTTTTTAAATAGTACATTCTTTTTAATGATTTGTGCCTTGATAGCAGGTGTAACCCAGGGTTGGGACATCTTGAATTTTTTACATTTTTTCTGAGTTATAGGACAAAAGATATTGATGTGATTTTTCAGAACATCCAAAAAAATTTCAAAAGCCTCATTGCAAGCATGCATTGAAGAAATGTAATTCCAATTATATTGAATTAAAGCATTATTTAATCTATGAAGATTTTTTTTTGAAGAATTTTGAAAAGTTATATACTGGTTGGAATTGACAAATTTTTTTGATACCACTTGCGAAAGAAATATCGGATAGTGATCCGATATATCGGTTATAATCGTGCCACTGCAAAATGAGTTTAGCTGGTTAGTAAAAATATTATCGATAATGGAATGGGAAGATTCTGAGATTCTGGAAGGAAGATTATTAGTTGGGAAAATAGAAAAGGAAGAAAGTACATCTAAAAATTTGATTGCATTAGGAGAAGAAGTTTTGAGATCAATATTAAAATCGCCCATGATGTAAATATGTTTATTTTCAGATATTGCAATGTCAAGAATGGAATTCAACCCACCAAATAGAATATCAACATGAATGTTTGGGGGTCTGTAGACATTTATTATTAAATAATTTTTTCTATATGACTTTATCTCAATAGCATCAGTTTGTATATCTTTATTAATTTGTAAGTCAAACCTGTGAATGTAGTTGAGATCTTTGTGAATACAAAATGCCAAACCACCACCTTGCTTTATTTCTCTATTCAATAATATAATATCATAATTATTAATTGAGGCCTATTGAGAATTACATGAATTTAACCAAGTTTCAGTGAGAGAGATTACATCATATTTAATATTACAAGTTTCAATAAACTCTTCAAAACAGTCTAATTTGTTTAACAAGCTTTGACAATTGAAACATAATAAATTCAAGATGTTACCATCTGAAGGTAAGGACTTGGATATGTGAGCATTCAGATTAACTGGAAGGATGGATGTGCTAACATGCAAAGAATCAATATATTTATTAAATATTTGTAATAATTGTGCATTATCACAATCAAAAAATTTGTTTAAATAATCAAACAAAAAATCACAACTGGTTGAGGCAGAATTAAACATCTTAGTATAAGATGAATTATTGGTTTGTGGCATCGCCATCTTTTAGTTTGGAATTTTCCACTTCCTGAGCCCAATCGGAGGACAGAACATTTTGTTCTTTAATTTCTAGAGAATCATTAGGTACTACCTTTGGTTGCATTCTATTAGCATCAACAATTGTAGGAAGAGAAGTTTTATTTTGTGAAGGCTCACGAACACTGTTAACCTGCTCTTGAGCCATATCCTTAAAATTGACCCAGTGTCTATGAATAATGCCCTTTGGCCAAAAAGAGGTGTCGTTGACAATTTCAAAATCATCACTTTCAACAATGAGTTTGAAAGAGTTAAAAGCCTTTTGAGTTTTAGGTTTTAACAAGTACAAACCCAGAATTTTTATGTTTCTCTTTTTGAGATAGCTCAACATTAAGTTCTCATCACAAGAACTAACCACATTGGATATGTATAAAGTTGCCTTTTTTGTAAAATCCACTTTGGCTGCTTCTATTTCATCATTTTCAGCACGCCCTATATTATGTTTAATTTGAGGGTGCAAATTTTTTTTTGCCGCAAAGGCAAAGTTTAACAAGGAAGGTGAAAATGTGGGGGATGAACCCTCGCCATTTCAAAGTGCAAGCTTTGACTTACGACTTAATTTCATCTGCCAATCATTAGCTTCAACATTTTCATGTATTTTAATAGGTTCCCTGACTGATGGAAAACTGGGCGGGGCAGTGTCCCTAATAGACAATTTATCAGTATTTAGTTGTGAATTACTGAGAATTAAGTTTGAGAGTTTAGAAAATTCATTCTCAAGAGTTGTAATTTTATTATTTAAGACCTGTATTTGAGAATATAATTCTTTCACAACTAACAAATCCTTAAAAATGAAGAACAAACATCACTTGCTGCTAGAATAATAGTTTGTTTTGAAGGCCTGCTTTTAGGCTCCAAGACAGATGTTTATTCCATTTCGTTGAGAGGCAGTTTTGAGAAATTTTTCTCTTTGCAACAAATCAAAATAGAACCTCTACAAACTTCTTAGTGAAAACTAATGAAACTATTAATTTTAATAAATGAATAATATTTATTCATTTGTTATAGATTTACTGCATTTACTTTTTTAAAGAGAAGTTTTCAATTCATAAGTTTTATTTGATAGAGAGTAAAATCTTTATTTTAATATTGGTTTTAAAAGTTAAAAGACAAAAATAAAATTGCTTTATTACTCTAACTGTGGAAATGTAACAAAAAGAAACTAATCTAGAAAAATAAAAGACATTTTAAAAGTTTTGAACATCTCTGAAAAATTAGTTTGATGTCTTGATTGTTTATGAGTTTAAAACGGTGAATCAGGACAAAAAAAGGGTGAATTAAAAAGGTCTTTAGAAATTGTAATCTGTGAAAATCTATGAATCATTCATCATCATATGACCAAGAAACTGTATGTTTTGTCTGTTATATAGAATGATAACAAGCATGGAAACGCAAAAGTGCTGAAAGTCTCAAGTTTCCATTTAATTGTCTCAAATGCAAGGCTAATATTTACATATTGTTTGCTAAAGTTTACTAATGGTGGCAAAAATTATATAAATGACTGTGTTTGTTATTACTTAGTAGGCTTGTAATTAGTGTATATTATTGAATTTGTTTTAAATAAATAACAATAAATATAAAAAATCTGATTGATAATGATGGAACAAGATGAGTTATGCATGAATGCAATTTAATGGCTAATCAACTATTTCACCTGTTCCATCATATAATCAAACAGTGAATTTTATTTATTTATATTCAATTTATTATGTCTTATTTGGTTAATGATTGCCAGTGACAATTAAAATTCAATTGCTCATAGAGGGTTGTGTATGGTACTTGTGTTATTATCTCAAGATGATGATAAGTGATTATCAATATTTGGATGGGTGTGGGTTTTGTGGAATTTTTGTGTTACAGACTTTTAATATTCTTTTTTTTGGAAAATTGCCATCAACACTCTTTATGTGCAAACAGCAGTCCAGTTCACTAGCAGATTTTTAAATTCACACCATAATCTATTGTAATTTTTTTCATATGCTGAAACAATAGTTCATTCAAAATCATATCAACGTTGCAAATTATTTCAATATTGTTTGTGCACAAAAACTCCAATATTAACAAAATTTACAATTTATAATGTTACTGTATGATAATTTACTGAAAGGTGGAAGTTTCTGATCTGCTTTATGAGGCCTCCAAATTAGTATCGAAGCCTTTCAAGAGCATATGTGGTGTGCCATACACAGCTCTCCCTATTGCAACAGTCAGTTTTCATTTTTACTATCAGTAGATCATTTTTTTATTGGTATTTTTTTTCATTTTGTTGGTAGTTTAAACAAATGAGTAGAGATATGAGTCACATTGCTACCGTGATTATATATATGGATATATAATGTTATATGAAATCAGAGCAGATGAAGCTTATTTAAGAAATTGAACCTGGGCACTTGGAAAAAAGGGAGAAGAGCTGTTAAGCTGACCAAGGATTGTAATAGAAAGCAAGGAATAACATGGAACATTATGCCAAAAGTTTGATTGTTTGATTGACTGATTTGACTGATCAGTAAAGGTAAAACGCAAGGAGATTAGTGGAAGAGTATAATGCTTTCCATTTGAACAACCAAGGAAGATCTAATGTACCATTATCTAAAAGTTAAACTGCTAGAAACGAGTATGGCAAGTAAACAAACACTTATTGAAGATTTTTACTGGGATGTGGAAACTGTGAGGAGTGTTTAATAAAATGCTTTTATTTGCTCAGAAAATTTTTTCTGCAAGTTACTCAGGAAATCAGTGAGGGAATGATGGATGGAAGTGGTGAAAGTAGCTGGGATGGCAGTAAAGTTTGGCAGCAGTTATCAGGTTTGATCTGAGGCTTCACCTTTTTGTTAGTTATGGTTGGTTGTGATGGAATTAGCATGGAGATCAAGAGAGGCCTTCCTATGGAACCTGATAAGTATACCTCACAGGATGTGATCAGCTGAACAGACTAGTTCATGACTCAGGCAGATAAATATCATGACTTCCACTGATGATATTTGCTATGGTATCAAATTATTTAATTTATTTGCAGTTAATCTCCGCAAAGCACAAAATACCCATGCTGTTGAGAAGAAGAGAGGCCAAAGAATATGGAACAAAGAAAGCTATTGAAGGCCATTTTGAACCTGGTGATATTTGCCTGGTCATTGAAGATGTTGTCACCTCAGGTCTCAGTGTGTATGAAACTATTTTGGTATGTTTGTCTTTCATTATTCCAAAGTAAATGTTGAAAAATGTTGGATATTTTTATTTTTAAAGTCTTTACAAAGCGTTGGGGTCCATGTTAGTGACGCAGTGGTTTTGCTTGAAAGAAGTCAGGGTGCAACTAATAACCTGAAGATGCTGGGAGTTAATCTGCATAGGTCTGTTTTAGTCTTGCTAACTATCATGGCTGGCAGATGTACATTTCATTATTTTGTTTTTAATATTCAATTAAGTTTTTTAGACCTTAAATAGTGATCTATTGTTATTTTATGTTTCAATTAGATAAATTTTGTCTATTTGTCAAACAAGTAATTGTTCGCAACATTCACTTCACTTTTCAATGTTAAATGGTTACATTTTCATAAAAATGTTTATCTGTTTCAGTAAATCAATCTAAACTATTATTTGTTTTACAACATAATCATTGGGTTAAAACCTTTGTTCTGTTGTTTATTAAAAAGTTAGACTCAATGTGCACTTTCTCACATATTTATGAAGACCAAGCTGTTTTTATTTTTGTTGAATTGTAAGTTCACTTGTTGTTAACAGTCTTGAAAAATACTGAAACATTTATTAAAACATTTTTTTAGCATAATTGAAACTTACTAAAGTTCCTATGGGACTACAAATTATTATCAATCAATCAACCAGTCTGAACTTTTTCTTCTCATCTTGAGACAACATTTAGTTCATTTTCATTATTACACAATGCTCTCCTCAATGATTGAATGAGTTGGAAATTACTTTCAAGGGCTTAATAATTTTTTACTGTCAATTGCCATGGTTTTTACAACATTGCAACTCTTGTGCATGTGTACTATGTGTATGTTTCATCTTTATCACTTTGGCCTAAAAATGTGATGAATGTAATGCTTACATTCATGTGCACTGCCTGATATACTTGTCTGCATTTTATGATAGCAAGAATAAACAACTCCAAAAATGTTCTAATATGTCTGGGTGTGTGTTTGTGTGTGTTTGTTTGTATTAAGTGTGTGTGTGTGTGTGTGAGGGGGGGGGCACGTACTTGCACTTTTTCACTTTTTATTTTTGTAAGATGATGTTTATTTGATAAAAACAACTTCCAATTTCATGATCATCTTTTATTTTATCCTTTTATTTTGCAAAAACCAGGAGATCAAATAAGCGAGCTTGTGCAGATCACCTTAACTAAAATTGCACAAATTAAGTTAAACAGAATAAAAAAATTACCTAAAATAAACTTAATAAAAATTGTTACGAAGATTTCCATATATAAAATAAACAGATATTCATACAACACAGTATAATGGGAAAAAATAAAATTAAATCAAACCATTTTAAAGACAATTTCTTTGAGTGAAAGCTTGAATGACCTTATATTGGTTATATTCACTTCATCTAAAGGCAGCTCATTCCATAATTTTATACCACAGACTGCACAATGCCTGTCATTAGTTACTGTCCAACCTTTGCAATAATTTATACTTGCCATTATATCGACCATTAGCTGTAATTAATTCAAATGTATTGAAATGCTGGTAGTTTTCCATATATAAAACTTTGTAGAAAAATATTAGTGTTTGATAGATATTTAGTTGCTCTATATTAAGAATTTTGTGCAAGGTATATATTAGCTTGGTGTGGTCTAATTTAGATAGTGAAAAACATGTACGTAAGAACTTTTTTGGGCAACAGATAGTTTGTTAATTAAATATTTGGCAGTGCTCCCCCAAAAAATATTCCCATAGGTTATATATATCATCTTATTGTGATATATCTGATCATCAACATCATCATTGTTGTGCCAGAGCTGTCTTGTCCTCTACTGCTCTTTTATGCCTGATATAAGATAACACTCATGTAATTTTGTTCTAATTTATCGTTTTTTTGTTTTTAAACGTCTGTTGGATTGGGTACCCTTTTCAACGAGTTTAGAAGTTTCTTAGATTCTGTACGGTACAATTAATTAGCACGTTTGTTTAACTGTTCTTATGTGAAAATGTATTTTGCTGCTTTGAATGGGAATCTAATGAGACTGCATCTGCAAGCTCCAAGTAGCCAGCCAACAAAAAACGTTAATGTTTTGTGAAGTCTTCAAAAATTTGAGGTTTGGATGTTGACGGTTAATCAGGTTTGAGGCTTGAGTGTAAACAAAGATAGGCAATTTTAATAAATGCAAAAAATATTAGAAAATGATGTACTATTTTTGAGAATTCATATGTAGAGTTGGATGGTCTTACAATTTATGGGCACAGAGTAAATGAAAAGAAACAGCTTCAAATCCTAAATGTTTTAAAGCAGCTGGTTTGATTTTTGTTATGTTTCATTGTTGGCAAACATTACGAATCCCAGTTGAACTTAGAATCGCAAATGAGCAGGTTCACTGATGGAGTTTTTAAATTTTAAGATCTATCTTATTTTATGCTACCAGGTGAATGTGCTCTGATTAACTGACAAAATTTAAGCTCATTAAATATATTTAAATGTAAATTGTGTAAACATGATTGAGTGATTGCATATGTGCAGTGTACAAATAAACATTTATGGCCATGTTTATTCAATCCATTTATTAATTGGTACTATTAACTGATATATTGGTTGAAAGAATTGAAAAACAAAAATATATGAGCAATTTTAATAAACGAATTAAAATACTTGAAAACTCGTTGCATTAAAAAATATGTATAAATATTATATGTTCATTTGCTTATAGTTATAAATATAAATAGATGCATGCGTAAGAGAAAGTCTGCGTGAGATGCATTCAGTGGGTCTTAGGTGTTTCAAAGGAAAGTTATTAAATTGGCGGATGAACAAAATATGTCTAATATATCAATTCAAGAAGTTAATTGATGAATAAATTATTTTATAGATTGCTAAGGAAAAAAGTTTTAATTAGATTTATAATTCAAATGATCAGAAATTAAGAAGAAAATTTTAGAGAATTGGTAAGACTCATTTATTTTCGCAGATTTAACAATGTCTTTGTCTTCAATTGATTAATATTTGGTTTTTTCATTTATTTTAGGGAGCGCTTTTGAGATCTTTTTTTTGTAATTAGCGCTGTGCAAATTGACTTGTAATAACAATATATGAATACAGCTTGCATATTTCTAGTATAATTTGTAACCATGCTTGATAATACAATGTTGTATCAATCCTCGTTTATAGTCTCCACCCGTTATGGTTCGGACTTTTTTATTCCATTCATGTTGGGGTGCACTGGCTATGAGGCGCGTCCACAGGTGGTGGATAGGGGAAAGTCCTGGGCAGGGAGACCTTCTAGGATTGCATAGAATAATACGGAATAAGATGCTGCAAACTAACTGTACCAGAAGAAAGAAGACAACGGTGAAAAAGACGGAGGATTCTAGGAGAACGGCTCCAACAGCGAATGATCTTCTATTCTAAATCCACTGCCCTGTGAAACAGGGACCTTTGACCCAAAGCTAGGTGCACTGCTTGCAACAGTGCTCTCTTGGGCACGAGATAAGCTGCAACCGCACTGCCTTGTGTGCTTCCAGCAAAAAGACTAGGCCCACTGCTTATAACTGGTGGTTGTCATTAGGAATTGGGCAATTCCAGATATAAAATAATAAGATAATACAATGTTGAAATCAATATATATTATATTTAAAATAAGTGTGGCTTCGCACCTAATGGCATGGAAATGTGTATGAACATTTTGAATTTTTTGGTTTTGTATTAATGCTAGGTATTTTTTGTAATGTATTGAGAATGTTTTCAACTCATTAGTAGCTATTTATTATGTTAGTATTAATAATTTTTCCTCAACTTTGTCATTATGAATTATTTAGTTTGTGTTTGGTGGATTCTTTATTTGCATTGAATCCACTTATTTTTTTCAACCATCTTGTTCCTTCCCTCGTTTGTTGAGGCTTGGTTTTAGTTTGGATCAATTTAATAGAGTTTAAATTATAGGTTCTGTGTTCCTGAACATCTCAACATAGCATCACCAACATTCAACATCTCATCAACATAACATCACCAACATCTCATCAATGTAACACCACAAACATTCAACATTTCCTTAACGTAACATCACCAGCATTCAACATCGCCTCCAAACATAACATTGAACGCATGGCAGCATCTTCACACTACCTGGCATGATGGAAGTCCTCGTGAAACATGGCAAGTTAGAGAAGGCATTCACGGACAGGGTACTCGACTTTCTGATCAACAACCAGACCACAATATCCATTAAGCAATCAGCTAACGTCAGCAATGGAACGCACTGCATGGTATTTATGATTTTTTTTACAGTTTAAATATAACCGACATTACTGGAAACGTTTTTTTTATTGTCTAAGGACTGCTGTTTCCTACATTGCTGTATAGGCTGGCTGGTATTTTTGTATATTTTTTATTCAAACAAACAAATTAATTAAAAATTTAATATAGAAAACTCGTGATTTGATGGAGCGTGCAAAACTAGCGAAACACGAAGTCAGTCGGAAAATATTTGAGGTGATGTACCAGAAACAAACGAACCTCTGCCTCTCCGCTGACGTCACTAACAGCAAAGAACTTTTACATGTTAGCTGTTTTTAACACTTAAATGCTCTACATACGTAATAGGGATGCACCTGATAGTGACTGTAGCTGATGGCCGAATAGTTAGTCGATCTACTATTCATCCGATTACAAAAAATCCCACAGTTTTTGTTGAAAAAAATTTTTTAGAATGAAGTATAGACGGTAATATTCGATATATTATATAATTAATATAATTATATAATATATATATATATATATATAATATAATAATTAATATAATTATATAATTAATCAAGTTAAGATGCTTTGACGGCTACGATTGCCAGAATAAGTTTTCCGCTAACAAAAACCAACATTTATTGTTCCGGAATACTAAGAAGGTAAGAGCTATTCTCTCCAGATTGGTACAATCTCTATAGTAAGATCATCATGAGAAAGATAGAAAATCTACCGGGAATATCCATTGGAGGCGTGAATACAAACAATGTACAATATGCTGATGGTAGAGCTCTTATAGCAGATTCAATGAAAAAACTACAAACATTTGTTTCCAAACTGGTTTTTGAAAGTGAAAGGAAAGGCTTGCAAATTAACGTCAACAAAACAGAGTGCATGGTTATCAATAGAAGCAAATCTACCCCATAATCATTAAGGGTAAACAGGTGAAAAAGTCAACAGCTTCAATTACCTCAGAAGTCTGATACATTACCTCAGGCTGTAAATGTGATATGAATATCAAAAGAAGGATAGCTATGACAAATTATGCATATTATTAAATGAAAAACATCCTCACCAACAATAAAATCAATCAGAATATCAACAAAATTAAAACTCGGGTTTTGTGGAGGTCGATGGTCGCCAATGTCCTGAAAGGATAAGGCACGAGAAAGAAAGATGAAGAATGGCTTAAACGAAAATTGCTATATTCGCTCATTTATAGTGGCCCTTTGTCATATTTGGTTTATACCTTGGTGCATCTATAACATGTATTTGTTGGACAGTGTGCTTTATTAAATTTGTAAGCAAATGACTTCAGTATGTTAGTTTTTTGAGTGTGTTTTTTGTTGGCATTCGATAGAATACTAGTTAGTGGAAGCATTTGTATGTCAACAATTTGTGAATTGTGTGCGAACAATTATCTCTGTGCAAAATCTAATCAGAGACTAATTAGTTATATGTTAGTATTTGTTGGGTTGCCTGTCACCGTGGGCCAGTGATAATGATATAATGGTAAATTATTTGATCGGGGTATAATGCTGACATCTGTTATAAACTCTGAAATCATTTAAGAAAAATTATATTTCGTTACTCAAATGAATGCTTAGCTTGTCCCTGCATATGTTTCTCTCTGAATTGTTGTGTTGTTATTACTATTACTATTTCCAAATTGAGCAGTTATTCTTTATGTTTTTGAAACTCCAGTTGGCCGAATCAATCGGGCCTTACATATGTGTGCTGAAGACACATGTGGACATAATTGAGGATTTCGACCAGTCAACCTGTCGAAATCTGCTCAACATCGCTCACAAACACAACTTTGTTCTATTTGAAGACAGGTTGGTTCAGTTCTCTTTCATTTTCCTTCCAATCATTTAATGGGCTTAAACAATCTCATGAGTTGTTTTATATGTGCATGGCTAAATTGTATTTAATGGTATTTGAGTATGTCTATGCTCTGTTTTAAATTTTCAACTAGAATGGTTTTATTAAAGAATTTAAATACCAGTAAATTATTTATTTTTATTTTCTATAGGGATTAATAATGTTGGAAAAATAATAAAAATTTTTACTGACCCGTTATTTGCCTGCTGTTATGAAGTGTTTTAAGAAGTAATTGAATCATCCTTTGTTTCTTCTTACCTCAGTGGTAGATCATCATGACGATGTGCCGTGTTGAGTTGCACATTTATATTACCGCTGCCTGGATTAGTAGGATGTTTTCAATATGAAATAATCTGCACATTCATTTTTGATACTGTCACATTACATATTTTAGATGTTTCCGTATGCATGTAATGGGAGTTTAAAAATCAAGCTAACGGACTTTAAATATCTTTTACAAAAAAAAAACTTTCAGCATAGCAATTAATGATGTGCCGGTTGCCATCTTATTTGATATCTTTCTATCTGCTATGAAATCAAAAGTTCTGATTTTGTTGAAATTTTAGAAATGTGATTGTTGCGTTGCATGGTAGTTAATAGTTATAATAGCTATATATAAGTCAACAATTAAATGTTTGTAGTGATTGCTGATGAACATTCAAACAGGAAGTTTGCCGACATCGGTCACACGGTATCCAAGCAGTTTACCGGAGGAATGTTCAGGATATCCGAGTGGGCTGACGTCATCAATGCCCACCCACTTCCTGGACCTGGAATCATAAAGGAACTTAAAAATGTGAGAAATGGTGATGGTGTTGTGATGGCGTTTAATTGTGTTTGATGATGTGGCAGCTGATATATTCATACATCGTACATGACAGCCTATATTTATAATGTTCAAAATTATGAAGTAAATTATCCATTAGATTTGTTACTAAAACTTGTAAATCTTTTTGAAGAGGGACAATGATGTCAACTTGCTCCTGAGACAAACATGGGTTCCACCAAAGTCTACATTGTGCAACACTGCTGTGATTGACAATGATGCAAATGTTTATTTTAATTATTCTCAACATTTTCACCGATCAATCAATCAGTTGTGGTGTTGCATTCTGTTTGCTTCGGAGGGAACTCTGCGGTTGCCATTTCGACCAAGTTCTTTCAACTGCCGACTCACTTGGTTGATTGACTGATCAGTTTATTGATTGGCTTATTAGATTTTTAAGGGCTGATCAATTGATTGACATGCTAATGAACTGATGGACCGGTTGGTTGAGTAGTTGCTGGTTGATTCAATAAATAACCGGCAACTGGTGATGCTTAGTTTTCAAACTGAGTCCCTCAACTTTCTGAATTATTTTCCATCATCTACCTCCAGATGTAATGTATTGCTATAACCGCTGCAATGGTCAAATTGCGCTATATTATTTGTTATGTTGATTATTCGTTATCTTTGGATTGTCAGAATCTTTTGTCAGCAGGAGTAGCGAGGTTTGATGCGAAGTTGCAATTGTGATTTATGTAGTTACTTGGATGTTTCCATTACTGTTGGTAGTTCAATAAACGTTCAATCAAGTTTGCGTTTGAAGCAGTTGTGTTCATCTATTGGAAATCTTGAACCTACGGAATAACGATAACTTGACGATCGTTGGAAGCTACAACACTGGTGTTGGAAATATAGAAAACTTTGAAGTTCTAACATCTGTGTTGGTAGTAACGAACGTTAAAGTGTTACAGCAGTATATGGCTAACAATTTAATGATATTTAGTGTTGTCATAACTATTTTATTCTTATATGTGAGCAGATTCTCTTGCTTGGAAGTTTAAACAAATTATTTGCACTTCCTTAGTTTTAGTTTTGAAATTTAATTAAATAAGAACTGATGTGATTATGTTAGGCCAACAAGAGGAGTGGATGTTTGTTGATAGGTGAGATGTCGACCAACGGAAACCTCATCACGCCTGCATATACCAAAGGTTGAAGTTTGTCATCGTTGTACTTGTTTGTACTGTCCATGTGTACTGTGCTGCGTGTTTGATGGTCATGTGTGCTTACTCATGTGTGACCTCATGCTTGTAGGGAATATCCACGCGTGTGTTTATTGTGGGAAGTTTTATATAGGGAACTTTATAAATTTATGATAAAAGATAAAAGATAAATTTATGAGTTGTCGATCAGTGAAGTTGATTTAAAAGATTATAAACATAAATGTTAAGCTATTTTAATTTTATTAGTTAAACATATATCATTAATTTGTTTTTATTTTAATATGTTATTTTTAAATTAATAGCAATAAAATGAATATCATGAAACATTTTGTTAATTTAATTAATAAACTATATAATAAATTACAATATATTAGGGAAATAGAGAAATTAAAATTAATAAATTATACTATAGCGATAGAATTTAAGGAAGATTGTTTTTAATTGAACTATCTCTTGATTTAAACACATTCACGCCTCAATTGATTCATTTCACGATCTATACCTAGCTATGGGATACAAATTTTGAAGCATGAAATTTTTTTCGATCGTTCAGCGCGGCTTGGAAAAGCAAAAATAAAAACAAATTAATGAAATGTTTAACTAATAAAATTAAAATAGCTTAACATTTAAATTATATATTCTTTTAAGCTTTTTTGTTAAGCGATCTGGGCACTTAACCTGCTGAAATATAATTTATTAGAACAGAAATGATCAGAAAAATATATTTATTGACCAAAACAATACATTTGCTCTTGGCTATGTAACTAAAAAGAAAGAGAGTAGGTAATATTGTATCTGTTAAGCAATGTAGACTTATGGAAAATCATAAAATAAATGCTTTAGAAACACATGTATACCATTTCAACTGTCACATTAATAAACACTGATAAATAATGTATAAGGTAGATAAGAATGTGTGGTTAATTTTTATCACGCGTTACATACTTGTTTGCCCGTCGTCTTACAAAATGTCTGTAGGAATTATTCATTTCTTTCATCATGTCGTTGGTATTGGGTTGGAAGTTCATTAACATTGGTTGTTTTTGTGATAATGTTGTTGAAGGAATCTTGAATTTATAATGCTAAGAAGCTTGAGAAATTTAACAGCGTGCACTTGAAGTACACGCTTTTGGAGCATTGCAAGAGCGCAACAACACTTGCAACTACACGAGGTTATCCTCAGAAGAGGTTCAGCCTAAAAATATTACATAACCAACCAACCAGCCAACCACTACACAACATGAATATTGCAGCAACGTTGAAGATGGCCGAGGAGAATGACGACTTCGTGATTGGGTTCATTAGCACCTCAAGAATATCTCATGATCCACATTTCCTTCATTTCACTCCTGGTCTGTTGTTGTCCTATTGTGTATTCTTTTATATTATTGTGACTGTTTTTTGTTCTTTTGATTTTTAATTTAATTATTTAATCATTCGATCGATTAATGTTAATGTGTGCAATCACTTTAATTAATTTGTATAATTATTCTGCAACGACAAAATGAGTTCGGATCATCAAATCTAACTCTGGTTTTCATTCTACCTCTCTTTTGTAGTTTCTTTTAGACTTCCAACTTGATTACGCGAACATTTTCAAGTGATCATTCAAATAAAAGATGATGACGTCTTTAAAAGTAATTTTTGTAAAACATTGCAGGTGTGAGCCTGGATTGCAAGGGCGATGGCAAGGGCCAACAGTACCTGACTCCGAGTGAGGTCGTCTCGAAGAGGGGTGCGGACATTTTGATTGTCGGCAGGGGAATCACGCTCGCTCACGACCCCGTCGCAGCTGCAAAGGTGTACGCCCAGGAAGGTTTCAGTGGCTACCTCGCTGCAGTCGATGTTTAGCGCTCACTTTTAAAATTCGCAGGACTGATTCTTGGTTATCATCGTTATAATTTGTTGCGTTGTCATGAGTTGCTGCTATGTTACATTATTTGTCATTTGTTTCGCCGCGGAGGTATATGAAAATACATAGCAGCCTCATTTTCGCAGCAGGCATTTTATTTGTTGCACGATTAGTTTATTATTCATATATTCGGCAGGTAATGTTGGATTTCATTAATCATTTGTTCTCTAATTTGAAATAGCATAACTTTACGGTTTATGGACTTTTTGTTGCTTCGGATCGAAGTTGCTCGTTGAAGTATTTTAATGCTTTTAAATTTTTTAAGATCATTTGGAATGATTTATAAAAAGACAACTTGTGTTCCGTGTTTGTACGAAAAAACGTAAAACTTGAAACTTCATTTGAAATTTTTAAAAAATTCAATCGGATTTGCATTTTTATCCGTATCGTCAACGTCACCTAGATGACCGATCATATTTACATGTAACTAGTTATTACTAGCTGACATGATGTTTTTCGGCCAGACTATAAAATTCTTAAGGCTCATACGATTGAAGTGAGGCCATGATGATCACGGATGTATATAATATATCCATAGCCATGATGGTCTGACTGAGCTGCCTGGGGCGGAGGGTGTGGCATGGAGTGTACCTTGCCCTCCGGCATCAGAGTTAAAGACAACATTAAACGGCGCAATTTATTGTAAAGGCTTTAAAATTGAAAAATAAAGCGCTATTTTCTGGAATGAAATCAAAAGAAAATGGCATAAACTAGTAAACAATTAACGGTACAAATGTTCAAGTTTCAAATTCAAAAAGATAAATGCTTTCGATTATTTATTGCATGTCAGGTAAAATTTAATAATTATGAACGCGGAGATGTTCTAACTAGGGCACTGCGAACATGTGAGCAAGTACCTGCAGTCAAAGTATGGTACGTCATATTTTACTTAATGTCTTATTATGCTGTGGTTTAATTTGTGTGTTGTCGCATCTGTTAGATGGCTTTGTTATTGTCATTCTTATTGAGATTATAAATTGAATAATGGGATCAGAATATGAACACGAATCGGTTAATGAATCAATAATTGTTAAAAATTTATAAACAACGGCATCGCATGTTACTTTGTGCTAATTGTACGTTATACATTTTCAAAAAATAAATTTCATTAGGTAAAAAATGATGAAACACAATAACAAATATATCTGCATAGTATTAGAGATTATTGAACATCAAAAATATGGCAAAAATCGGTCTCAAATGTATGAAGAAAAAAATACTTCTAAAATTATTTATAAGTAAAGTTGATTATAAATGACACTGGCTAATTAATTTTTAATATAA